ACCAGGAAAACGAGCTCCTATGCTTACCAGACTTCTTAGAGGACCGTATTTTAACCAGAAGACTCCATTAGTACCACTAGCATGGCTCTAAACCTTGTCTGAGAGAAAGTCAAAAATCAGCAAACAGGTTATTTTGTTTGGCCACCTTTTTTATCATCATCTCCTGAAAATCAGTTAATGGAGAGTATGATGGTCTTTGAACAATGTTACAACACAAATTTTATATCGTATTCTACTCTAATTATCCATGCACAGGTCCAAAACTTTTCAAATAACTCTAACAATTTGAAAAAGTTGCCCTCTCTCTATTGTTGCCAGTCCAATTAGCTTCATTTCACCATTTTGTTAATTAAAGAAACATTTGCTACGAAATTTGGGTGTGTTTGAGCTTGCTCAGATCTCAGAACTGGGAAAAAGAGCAATTTTTTTATCTACAGTAGCTATGCTTTGATTAACTGCAATACTTAGTGGAGGTTCCAGGCTTCCAGTTCCAGCTGGATTTCTTTGTTTTATTACATGTATGTGTGAACAATAAATTGTATCTTGAATAACACAAACAATAATTATAACATACTTCATGTTATGCAATACAAATATACATGTACAAATGTTATTATACACATGTTATTAATTCATGCTTCTTAAGCAAGGATTTGTGTCAAGATTATTATGATATCATACATCACTAATCACTGATCAGTATAGAATTCCTTTATCATTAACTATTCACCACAATATCAATTGACACCATCTGAAAAAATATTTTAAATATTATTTTTAAAATCAGCACAAACAAGAACATAAAAATTTAAAAAAAATACAAGGTGGAGTAGGATTCTAGAGCAAATGCATGAAAAAAGTAGCAGAAACAAGGACAAGTAGGATTTCGAACGACCAACGAAAATGCGAAATGATAATCCTACTCTCATGATGCAAATTTCACTCTACATTGCAAGGTGATCCGTAATTTCTGACATAATAATATTAAAAGTACAATGTAGAGGAGAATTTGCATCACAAGAGTAAGATTTTCATTTCGTATTTTTGTTGGTCATTCGAAATCCTACTTGTCCCTTTTCTGTTACTTTTACAAATTTTCTCTAGAATCCTACTCCATCTTTTTTTTTAATTTTTTATGTTTTATACATGTGGCTTGACCAGTATTAATTAATTTCATTTATAGGTGAAATTAAAACAGTCTCTGGTTCAGCAAAGACTTTTATGCAAAGACCAGCTAATCTTAGGATGAAATTGAAAATATTATCAATATTGAATAAATCTACTGTTGCTACAGATACTTTCCCATTATGTGTACAGGTACATTCTGCATGTACATGTACATTATGTGTAGTACGTACATGTACATCTACATGTACAATTACATACATGTACATGTATGGATCACTGTGTACAATTTAAAGAAATAGATATAATACATATACATCTAAATGCCATTAGCACACACCATTATTCATTTACACTGTCCTCATACTATATATCTAGATTTGTTAGTGAAAAATTACTGTACATGTACATGTACATTTAGTACATGCATACTTAAGGTGTACATGCATTGTACTTGTATCGGTGAATTTTAATTGGTTACCATTACCTTTACCATGTACTGCAGCATGCTGTACGCTGCAAAATAATTTAATTGGGAGAGTGGCATTGACCCTATCAACAAGTCATCTACAATGTACATGTACAGTGTAAGAACAATCTCCTTTATTAGAACAATCTCCTTTATTGTAATTCATTGTTTATCAGTTATACTCGACCTTTTGTAACATGAGACACAATACATGTACATGTGTAATGTATATTGCACCGTGATCAAGTAATTTCAATTACAATTGGTGCATGACTACATGTACATGTGTATTTTAACAAATTAAGTGGTGTATTCACCCAAATTTCTCATATTTACATCTCATATTGGTCTTAATATACATGTACATTGTAATTACCTAAACATAACAATAATGTGATCCAAATCCCACTTTCTAAAAAATTATTTACTGAGCTATGAGCCTTCAAGTCATTAAAAAATTTGACATTCTGCTTCTGCCATGCTACTTTCTGTCGGTGGGCATGGCTAAAAGTGTTGTCATAATCGGAACAAGTGCAGATAACTCCATTCCTTTATAGGGGAAAATGGTCCTTGTAGTGATTCACCGATAATCAGATGGGCTAATGTATCGGCCGATATTACTGCATGTTCAACCAGTATTAGTATCGGTATTATTAATACTACCAATATTGATAGCTATGCACTTGTGCCAGCACTATGCCACGTGTTCAAAATGATGGCTGGAAAAAGAAAGACCATTACTCTTTGAGCCTATTTCTCTGTGGGAGAAGATTCACGCTTTGCTATCTGCAATGAGTGCAGTGCTTCTGTTTCTCATGGTGGTAGCAGTACAAGAAGTTATAAAACCAGCAATCTTTTGTTTCATTTACGAACAAAGCATCAAGACCAATTGAAGAAGTACGAAGCAGACAAGAAACTGGACCTGCAACAGGACAGTCAGTACTCCCAAAGACTAACCAGTTATCACTGAAGTCAAGTATGGAGTTCAGCCATGTCTGGGATATCAATGACCATTGCACGCAACGTATTCATCTACGAGTTTGTGAAATGATCTCTATTGACAGCCAGCTGTTCTCCATAGTCACTGATGTACATGTACATGTAGGATTTGTTTGTTTATTGAAAGCAATGGAAAGCAGGTATTCCCTTCCAAGTCGTAAGTACTTCACACAAACGGTAATACCAAGGTTTCATAGAGGCATTAAAGGAGAAGTAAGGAAGGAAATAGCTGATGTTAAGTTGTTCAGCTTTACCACTGATATTTGGAGTACATGTTGTACCTCTGTTAGCAATGACTCTTTGCTGAGCCTAGCAGCCCACTGGCTTAACAACAAATGTGAAAGAAAATCTGCTGTACTTAATGCCCAAACTTTACACGAGGCACACAAACATGAGAATACGTTTGCTCTCAATATAAAGACATGCTGACACACCAGATTATTAAAGATGAGGAGGTACTAGCTCAATACTGTCAATTTGCTATAGCTACTGTTTTAAAATTATTTATTACTATTTACTACTACCGTATAACGCTTTATTTTGGCGATTTTGATGTAAAATTGTAATTGGCTGTTTTTAATTTGGCGATTTTTGTGTACACATGCATTACTGAGCATGCGCATTAATGATTGGCAGTTTTAATATTGGCGATTCTGCTTGCAAACCGCCAATCACCAAAATAAAACTCCACCAAATTATAGCATTATACGGTATTACATGTATT